CCTTTGAAAATAAAGAGAGCTAAGTTATTTGGTTTTAGTTTCTATTAGTTAGTGATGACAAATAAACTTATACATGTGAATTATGTCCAAACTTGTTCCGCCTTTGTTAAGAATATCATGTTTGATTGAACACGAGTATGAGTAATATCGATTTATTAAATTGTGCATGGGTATAGGTACTTACCCACTTCGTATGACCCCATCCCAATCCTTACTTTAAATTTGTAGAAATTTAATTTACCTTTTTTAGAATTTATTTGAGATTTATATAATTCCAACTCTATTATAAATTTATGTTAGATAAAACTTATTTAATATAATTTTGTAATTGTTACTATAAGTTGGAATTATTATTATTATTTTTATATATTTTTTATAAAAAAATTAATTAATTTTTGGACAAATACGATATCCAATATCTGACGAAGATGAAGATGAGATACGAATTCTACACTCGTTAAATATGGGGACGAGGATGGATATATGATACGAATTTGGGGATGAGGATATTGAAACCCGAACTCGCTCTATCTTGATGTCATCCCTACTAGTAGCCCAATAGACTTGGTTAAATAAGAAGTAGAGTTATTAGTTAGCGTAATACTCTCTTTTTGTTCTTTCTTTTTGGGAACACTCTCTTGTTGTTAGAACCACATGTGAAGGAACTTAGAACTAGAGGAGGGGGAGATCACACTTTAGCACCCTTGCCTCTGTGGAAACATTTTCGAAGTTAGGAGGAGTAACTTATTTTGCTCATAAATGTAGAATAAATTTAATTATTGAGGTTGTCTCTCAACCCCATAAGTTCTATAATTGTATGTGTTTAGAGGGTTTTGAGTACCCTAAAAGTGTGATGGATTGTATAATTATCCATTAACTAGCTTTGTGGATAACTAGATTATATCTAGTCTTGTCCCTAGTATGTTTTTGTGATGGGCTGGATTGTATGAATAGACTTTAACTTATATTACCCTAATTTGGTACTTTAGCAGCCAGTTTATGCATCAACCAAAGGAAGCACATTTACAAGCTACTCTTAGAATTGTCTAGTACCTGAAAGGGACCCCCGAAAGAGGGATTTTGTTCAAACAAAATAAGAGTGTAAGTCTTGAAGCATATACGAATGCGGACTATGCAGGGTCAGTGGTAGATAGGAGATCAACTACTGGATACTGCACCTTCCTTGGTGGAAACTTAGTGACTTGGAAGAGTAAAAAACAGAGTGTAGTGGCTAGATCAAGTGCTGAAGTAGAATTTCGAGCAATGGCCCACGAGATCAAGTGCTGAAGCAGAATTTCGAGCAATGGCCCACGGAATATGTGAACTTCTATGGCTGAAGATTATATTGGAAGATTTGAAGATAAAGTGGGATGAACCTATGAGGTTATATTGTGACAATAAATCTGCAATTAGCATAGCCCACAACCCGGTGCAGCATGATAGAACTAAACATATCGAGGTTGACAGACACTTTATCAAGGAAAAACTTGACAGTGGCATGATTTGCACACCATATGTATCCACTCAGAATCAACTTGTAGACATACTTACCAAGGGGCTGAACTGCACTAACTTTGAAAGAATTATATCCAAGCTGGGAATGGAAAACACCTATTCACCAGCTTGAGGGGGAGTGTCAAAATCGTGATTGGCGTTGTGTATTTTAGGAAGTTTTATATTTGCTATGCTGTATTTCTGTAACTGTCTTATGCTGCCATTATTAGATTTATTTATGCAGGATTAATCCCGTAATCATAGGGATTTGTCTCCTTAGAATTAACTGTCCATATTTCCTAAAATAGGCTGCAGATTCATGTATATATATAGAGGTTTAATAACCTCATAATATCAATAAGAGAGAATATTATTCCTTCTAAATTTGAGAATCTATGCAACTATTTCTGGCCTGAGCTATTAACTGAACTAATTGTTTAGGATTACTGCCAATTTTACCTTGGTCATGCGGCTAGCGATCACACTTGTGGGCAACGACGGGATATGACTGATATTCCTCGGCTATTTGTTATTCGTTTCCTGAGGAATAGTAGTGCTGTTGATTTGAGAACACAAGAAAAGACAACGTGGAAATCATTACTCGTCCAAGATCTAATGAATGATTCTGATCTGGCAGGCCAGTTTGTAGCTGGGTACAAGGGAGAAAATGATGTTTCACAGGTTTGCCATTTTGCAATAAAATTTTTCACATTGACAAGTAATGCTTTGTATGTTGTTTTCTTTCTCTTCCATTAGTTTTTACATCTATTTTGTAACTTAAATGTATTATCATCATATTACTTGTGAAATGTGTTGTGCGGTATAAGAACTATTAGTGTACAATGACGGAGACCTTTTGCACAGTTTTTTTTAAAGATATTTTCTATTTTCATCTGCAGATAATCCACTGGCTTGCAAATATTATAGCGGATGGTGACTCCAGAGACTTGCCATTCTTTGTAAGTTTTATAAACTTTTGAATAGGTTTTGTAGGTAAGCTTTAATGTGATGTGATTCTGTTTACTGGTGTTTTTCAAATGTGACATTTATTTATGTGATCATAATTTCACGATTTCCCCGATTAATGCTTTAAAATGAGAGATAGTTGTTGGTTTGATGGGATTATTTCTTTGTAGTTTGTTTATAATGCAATAACATTTTCTCGTGGCAGACACTACGAACTCCTAAGCTTGTTCCGGATGACACAGAACCTATTTGGTCCAAAACTGCACAGAGTTTTCCTTTGAAAAATCTGAAGCAAAGTATTCTGAGTGGTCTTAGTGGACTCTCTGTGCACCTTGAGGATCCAAGAGTTGGCCCCTTTTTGCTTCTAGGTGCATTAATTTCTTTGGGTACCATCTGGCTGCGAAGGAACCAACAAGTTCAGCCATTCAAACCAAGTCAACCTAGTTCCAATCAGCCATCTGAATCAAACCAACCTAGTTCCAAGGTAACTTTTGCCTTGATATACAATTATGCATATCTTGCTTTTTTTGAAATTGGAGGGAATTACTTGTATATTTTCATTCTGACAGACATCATCCCAGGATGAAAGAAAACAGAAACCAAGAGACCGGCTCCGGAGTCGGCCAAATAAAAAAGCACCCCCTTCTATGACAGATTTGGAGCCATCGGATGCTTACCAGATGCCACTATCAGATTCTGAATCTGAGTAGTTTCTGTTTGGTTTCTCCACGAGGGAAAGGAGCTTTTCCAGACATAAAGTTACATGTTCTGAAGGTGAAACTCTTGAATTGAATTCATGGTTTGGAGCCAGATAATACAAGATTGCCACCATGTCAACAAGACAACAAAAGATCAGCATGCGTATATCCCTTCTGTCAGATTCCGAGAATGAAAAAATGAAATGTGTCTATATTATATTGCGAATTTGACTGTTCCATACGTAAATTTGTTTAGTATTTGGATTTGGATATTTATTCATGTCTGTCAATTCATATAGCCTAGCCAGATGCTTTAACCAAAATTGAGAGTTTAAATTAAGTAACCTGTGAAAAGTTTATCGTAATTCATTCCTGGAACGTCTGTTTATATTTTTTATGATTTAAATGAAATAATTAGAGTCTAAGGATATGTATATGAGTTGACTTTTGGAGGAAAAGGTCATTTTTACTTCTAATATTCTCTAATTTGGTAACTTTTTAAACTAAAGAAATAGAATAAGCTAGCATAAATTTAATGTTTTAAAGCTCTTTTATTTATAAATATTACATATTTTTTAATTTAAAAATAAAAATATCACCTCTCCTCGTTTTCCCCAAAATATTCGATCTCAATTACCCTAAAGTGGAGAATTTTTTTGCACGTACTTATTTCGGACTCAATTATAAATAAAATTAGCTAACATTAGCTCATTTATGTGATAATTAAGAAAATTAATTAATATTATTTAATTTTATTAATCAAATTAAATTTTTTTAATACTATGTTTTATTTGAACATGATATTAAAATAAAATAAAAAAGTGTTCAGACAATGTCTAAATTTGATTATTGATAGAAATAATCTTTAATTAATTTTTATTTAACTCTCAGTCGAGTCATATTAGTTTAAAGTGAAATTAGTGAGAGAAAAAAAATGATATTAAAATATATATAAAAAATCATTAAAAATATAATTTTAATAAAATGAAAGTATTTTAGAGATGGCTGTCCAGGTAAAATTAGTTAATATTTTCTAATATTTTGTTTTGCTATTTATGTCTTTTTTTTATATATATTCAGAGTGTATTGGGAGTAATTTTTGTTATGGTTTTGTATTCCGGGAGCACGCAATGAATTTTAATGATCTTAAAAAAATAATTTAAACACATTTAATTGTTATGTAATACATTTTCTTTAATTATCTTATCAGTGGAGTTGCACGGGTAGATATATAAAAATATAAATTTAAATTTTATCGTTATCGTTGTAGTCTTACCTCCGGATAAAAAAAAAATTAAAACAAACATTTTATTGGGATAAAGGTATCTTGCTCAGATGTTGGATTCTTTTTAATGACATTTGTCAAACCTGAGGTTCATTATGCTTTCCGTTTACAGCAGTTAAACACGTAAAATAAAAATTTCATGAGATTAAAGCAGTTTTCACGAGAGTTTCTAAAACACGTCTCTACAAGTGTTAAATATGGTTGAACCCATTGTTTTTCATTTTATTGTTCATATGATCATGAATTTATCGCATTTGAAGAGGTTACAAGTTGTCTTGATCATGTAATAAATAAATTATTTGAAACTGACATCATCCAATTCATGTAGTTAACCTCACGTAGGAGATAAAAACTTTGTTGTTGTGTGTGTGTTTCTCTATACATCCACCCGTTATATGTTCTAACTCGTGTGGATACTTGAGAGAGTATTAAACAATTACACCAATATATTGTTTGATACTACGTATATTATGTGATCCAACTAATAACATACTGATATACTATCTTAACTAAATTGATTATTAATCCAATTTTACAACACTAATATCAAGTATAACATTATAATATTTTGTTTATATTTATTATAATATACACACACACACATATATATATATATATATATATATATATATATATATATTAACAATCTATCAAATTATTTATTTCATTTTCTTTTTCAAATTGTTGTTGACTTGATAGATTTTCGTATTTATAATTTTTATTAAATATTTTTATAATAACTCAATTAAAATATTTTTTATTAAAATATGGTTTTATAAGATTTAGAGAAGAGAGAAAGAGACAAAAGGGAAAATAGAAAAGATATGTATTATTATTATTATTAAAAATAAAAAGATTATAATTTCGGGTATATGTAGGCAAAACCTAAGAGTTTAATGGGCCTTATACACTATATCCCTTTTATACTCCCTCTTAAACTTATGAGAGAACAAAATGAAGCCTAAGTTTGTATATGCAGCTTGAGAAGGAAGGACAAGTTAGAAGTTTTGAAGTGAAGAATTGGGTTAGCAGCCAGAAGTATTGCACTAAGGTTATCACAATATATCTTTGGAGTTCTTATATTTGGTACTTGAAGTTCATGTAGAAGGTTCTTCAGCCAAGTGATTTCTCCAGTAACAGAGTTAAACTTTTGTATTTTGCCTCTGTTGTGCTTCTTGAAATAGCTTATTGTTTCCTAGATGACCAACTGACTGGGTTACACCCTAGGAAGACACAAAATCTTGTTTACTTTCTATCATCAACATCAGCTCCCCAATCAATGTATTGTATGGAGGAAAAATCTTCATTTGCCATTTTTAGCTTGGCCTCACCTTTGTAGGATGTCTTACCCATTAGGTTGGATGCATCAGGGGTGACATGGTTTGTTGCCCCGGTATCCGAGTATTAAGAGGGATCATATAATACAAATTTACAATGTCTTTAGAACAGCCATTAATGTTGACACATTTGTGTGATTATCAAAAATTAGCCTTAGCATTCATCACCTTGTTTTGACACTCTGAGTAGTGACTTTGTTGTTGAAATGTTGGATTATCATGCTGAAAGTTAGGATTAAGTCTGTGATAGCATTGGAGAGTAGTGTGACCAGGTTTTTAACAGTAAGATTGCTTCTTCCACGAAAATTTTGGGGATTCTTGCTACATAACCTAAATTCTTGATTCTTGCCAAATCAATTTTGAAATTGAGTCATATTTGCTTGAAGAGATTGCATAGCAAAACTATTAGATTCTTCTTTCTTTTTTCTCTCTAAGAGACTTTCAAGGGTAGCTAAGAGAGTTTCAATCTCAATAACGATATAGGGGTCGGTGCGTGAAATAATGGAGGTAACAAGAGGGTTGTATTCATTTGAAAGCCCATCAAGAATGACGGAATGTGTTCAGATGGGTCAATTGGGGATCCTACAGAGGCTAGGATATCCTCAATTTTCTTGATTGATAAAAGATAATTGTTGAGAGAATCAATTTTACGAATACCTTTGAGTTGGGTTTTCAATTGATACACCTTTGCACAAGTTTGAGATTCAAAGTAGGTGTGGAGGTATTTCCAAATTTGGTGAGCGTGGTTGCAACCCACCATCTGAGCATGAAAAGTAGAAGATATTGAAGCAAGAAGCCAAGTATATACGATTTGATCCTATTGCTATCAATTGCCATAGTCATTAGAGATTTTCCCAAGAGCCATGTCATCTTTGTCCTTGAATTTGTTGGGCATGCCGTCATGAGAGGAAAAATCGATGAATTATTGTAACTTGAAGGATTTGATGGTGCCCAAAGCCTGCATCTTCCATGTGAGGAAGTTTTCATCATCAAGTTTGACTAAAATAGGTACGATTGTTTGGATTGCAGAAACTATTGAAGAATTAATTATTTGCCCCAAGACCTTACTGCTCTTGATATCATATAAGATTTAGAGAAGAGAGAAAGAGAGGAAAGGAAAAGTAAAAAAGATATATATTATTATTAAAAATAAAAATAGTTTATAATCCAGTGTATATGTAGACAAAGCCTAAGAGTTTAATGGGCCTTATAGACTATATTCTCTTTACAGGTTCATTTGATTTTTTTTTATACTTTTTTATTCATATTGTGTTAGAAATTTAATTAGAATTAAAATGTAATGAAAGTGTAAGAATTTCGTACACTCATTCATACATGCACATGTTTTCAAGTTGGGCCTAGGTTGAAAGCTGTATTAAGTGGCCCAATTCATTATTGCCCAGCCCAGGAAATAGCGTAAATACGAAAAAAAGCGAAATGAAATGAGATTCTCCACTCGCTGCCACTTCACAACAAAGTCACAACTTCTCAGTCTGCGACTCCGGTATGTATGTATTGATTTGTTTTCAATTCATCCTTTTCTCTTGAATTGTGCTTTTCAATTGCTTATTGTGTTGTGTTCTCTTCGCCATGAATTGAATTTTCAATTTCCAGGTTCATGTAGCTCTTATTTAATCACATGCCTTATTTCAATGTCCAATTTGGTTGGGATTGCTTTTCATTTCGCTTTTAATGTAATAATAGTTCTATGCACTCGAATCCTTTTGTTCTCACTTCTCAGGGATTTGTTTGAATTATTCATTATGATAGTGTTCTGGTATACTATTATGTTTATTTTTGTTTGTTTTAGTTATAACTTAAGTTGTTTGTATCCAAAGAGTGAGAGCCTTTTAGCTATCCTTAGTTAAACGATTGTAATGGAAATTGAGGTGTGAAGTTTCGAGTTTACTCAGATTGGCAGTTTTTGCTTCTACCAACCGTAGTCATGGTGTGTTACCTGTTTGTGTATGGTAGTTTGTTTGTTGTGGACAGTGGACACTTAGATTCATTTTTGTGAAGCCCGTTAGGAACAATGGCTAGGGGAAGAAGAGGCAGAAAATTTCGTGCCTATGTGCTCATTTTATTGGGTTTTCTTATGGTCTTTGTGGATTACGGATGCAGGTCAATGCCAGTGTCTTTTTACTCAGAAGCTTCTACCCCCCCTTCATCTCTGTGAAACTGATTAGGAGTTTGTTTGGGTAAACTTTTTTTATAAGTTTCTAAGAGAGAAAAATAGGAAGAGAAAATGAAATAAGTTTCTTCATAAGATAAAATTTGTTTATCTGTAAGTTAATTAGTAGAAGCTATTTCATATTAGTTCTTCCCCAAAAAAAAAATTAACTTATACATAAGCTAGTTTTAACTTATGGAAAAGTTTATTTCCATCTTCCTTCCTATTTTTCCATCCTAGAAGTACTTTCGGAGAAGTTTATTCATACAGCTCTATAGGTGTTTCCCAGGATTTCAATGTGGGTGGAGCAGACAAATTTTCTTCTTTCTTTTTTATTAGGAGGTTGAGAGTGGTCGCTTGTTTTTATGAGCTAGTATATTGGTCTTTTGTTTCAATTATTCTTTTGTTCTTGCTATAGCTGGAATTTCTTGTACCATTTTCGTACATCGTATATGTTTCTTAGTATTTTTTTTTAATCCTCAAAAGAAAAATCCAATAATCATACGATACAATCTGCAGTTCTGTTGGAATTCCTAGAATTATATCCATTAATGCACTTTATTTGTTTGTATTATCCCTGTGTATGTGTTAATCTGTTTATAGTTAGTAACTTAGTATCCATTTGTTGTTTGACTTTTACTGGTTTACATTTGTAATCTACAAACGTTTTCTTTGCTTATTCAGTGGAAATCATTAAATTGTGATAAACATGGGAAAAGACTCGAAGGCAAAGGAGTCCGGGGGGAAGGGAAAGGGGAAACAGGCTGCAAGTGGAAGTGACGAGAATGCTTCTAAGGGCAAAGGAAAAGGTGGGAAAGGAGGAGATGCACTTGGTACTTGCACCTATGTCAAAGGTAGAAAATTTCCCCATCCACGGATACTATTGTAACCATATGATTAATTCCTTTCATGGTTCTTGTCTTAGAATGACATTATTTTTTTGTTTGTTATTCCATTCAGCGAGGCATGTCTTGTGTGAGAAACAAGGTAAGATCAATGAAGCCTACAAGAAACTGCAGGATGGTTGGCTTAGCGACGGAGATAAGGTCCCACCAGCTGAGTTTGCAAAGGTATTTTACTTTCAGATGTCATACAATGATCTTTACTCTTGTTTGTTTTTTTAGATCCTTATTTGGTTTTATATTTTTAGTGAGGCTGAGAATCTTATTTTGAGTTTAATAACATAATTGTTTTCTGCCCCTCGCAACCTGTTATTAGTAATATGAAGTTTGATGAATGGCATTTCAAGAGGAGAAATAAGAATCTGTTCCTTCAAAATTAATCTGGAGACAAATATTTTGTCCAATTGTTAATTATCAATAATATTTCACTGACTTCACAGATAGCTCAAGAGTATTCAGAATGTCCTTCAGGGAAGAAGGGTGGAGACCTTGGATGGTTTCCCCGTGGAAAGATGGCTGGTCCTTTTCAGGATGTTGCCTTCAGCACACCTATTGGAGCTACTAGTGCTCCTTTCAAATCAACGTATTTCTCTTGTACTCTTATTATCTTGGTGCTTAATCCTCTCACATAGCACCTTTGCTCCTCCATTTAGGACCTACTAATGTTTGCTTGGATGATGATGCAGGCATGGCTACCATATTATCTTATGCGAAGGAAGAAAGAACTGATCCCTGAATAAGAACGGAACTGTCTAATTAAATGCTCTGCTTCCTTTCCTTTTGAGATTGTGGTTGAGAATATAAACCTACAGTTTCCATAGTGTGTGCACTGATCTTGCTTTCTAATACTTCGATAAATCAGATAATATATGTGAATGTGGATGGTTTTATTACATCTGTGTTGTGCATTACTGCTTTAGTCCTATTCAAGTAGACCCCCAAATTCTTCTTTGAAAAGATTCATATGACCGCCATTTGTGGTTCTTATGGGCATGATACGGTTCTTGCAATCAAATTAATGTATTTGTTGTCAAATTTTTCATAAATGAATTTGGGGAAAGGTCAAGGATGAAATGAATGAATGACTTTGGAGAACCCAGACACGTGAGAAGCGAACTGCTAATATACTCGCTCCATGTCCATGTCCATGTCATAATAATTGCAGTTTTAAAATTTTAAAAATATTTCAAAATGAATGATGATCTTGTTCTCACGTTTCAATGTAATAATTTTTTTTTCTTTCTAATTTTGTCATTTTATAAATTATTCTATTACTACAATTAAAAGTCATATATTTATTGAGAAAGTGAACTACTCAAATAAAATTGTATTATATATATATATATA